GGGGTCTCACCTACTGCCACAGCTGCAAAATGCCCCAGTCATTCAGTATTCCCAGTGTTCAATTGGGTGCTAGCTCTAAACCTGAGTTGCTATTAAGGTTGTCAGGGTGTGTTTTTAGATGTGGGGGTGGGGTTCCCTACATCTCCCTGTGGCCAGACACGTGTTCCAGGGTCCTGGAGGATCAACTCTCCTCTTTCACCAAGCACACGCTTTGCCCTGCAGCTGCTGCTGTGAGCTCGGTGGCCCCGGCCTTCTCCTCTCACAGTTCTAGCTCAGGGTCTCCTTAGTGACTTGCCACCCGCGTCTCAGACGGCCCAAGGCCTGCTCGCTTCCCATTTCATTGCTTTCAAGATGCTCACCAGTGAGCACTCGCAACACCACACTGGGCCTTTACTGTCGCAGTGCTGGTGAAATGGGCGGGGTGCAGCCTTCGGTCCAGCAACACTCCCTCTTTCTTAACCCTAACCCGAGCTTCAAAATCAGAACGCTCATAAATATTTGAGGCCATGGAGGAACAGGACCGTCCCACAGCAGGTCGGTGCTCGGCTGCCCTCCTGGGATGAGCTGTCGTGTGGGACTCTGGGGCTGTGTCTGCGGCACCTGAGGCGCTGTCGCGACTCCCCAGGCAGCGCCTGTGCTTTCCCAGGCAGGTGTGCTCCACCCACTTCCTGCTGGAGGGCGGGGCACCCGTAGGGTGCTGATTGTGGCACCTGGGAGCTACCTGGCTGGCTTTATCTCTGGTGTGGGGGAGGGAGTCTTATGAGAGGTAGGCATGATGTGGCAGGCTGCTCTTACTATGGGAACATTGCCTGCCAACGGGACTGACTATCCCCAGGGCCCTCCCCGCTTCTGCGGCCCTGCCCAAGGGGAAGCTGGCCTGAGCTGAGTAGGTGTGCATGCGGCACAGCCAGGATGCCCTTGTCTCAAACTAGGTGTCCAGGACATGCAGCAAAGGCGGCTAGCATCCTGGGGCTGCCCGGGAAGGATGGGGCCAAGAGGAGGCAGGTGCTTGAAGCTGGGGCTGGCTGGGGGCGGCCCCGGAGCAACACCTCCATCACCTGGGGACTCTCCCTCCCACACTCTTCCCTGGGGTCTGCCTAGCCTTGCACATCTCCTTCACTCACACCTAAGGAACTCTTGACATAAAGATGGGGTGGGCTTGCTTGAGGCAGACACTGGGTGCAGGAAGAGCGTGAGGCTGGCAGAGAACAAGGGTCAGAAAACACCTGTCCTGAATAGTTCACGTGCTGCGCCCTGTATCCATTTGAAGATGTCCCTGGTGAAGCCAGTCTGAGAACGCCTGTGAACAGTGCTCACACTACCTCTGGCGTGTGTGTGTATGTGTGCATGTGCACGCACATGACAGGTCTTTGAGGCCAGAGCACACTGCCTACTCTTTCAGAAGGGCACTAGTCCTATTAGGACCTCATCATTGCTACTTCCCAAAGGCTTCATCTGTACATACATGATATTGGGGTTAGGTCCTCAATATACGAATGGGAGAGCACACAGTCCTGAACACCCTGGTAGAGATGCCATCATCTGAGGAATGCCTGTGGAGGCAATCAGCCTATGCCTGTGGAGGTGAGGCCTAGCATGTCCCCTTTGGGATACCACTGGAGACTGGGGGTTTCTTCTGCCTTCTCCCAGCAAAGGTCTATGACCTTCCGGGAGACACAGGCACATTCTAGCAGGGTTGTGGGAGTCCTCCACACCCTCAGCATGGTGTGGAGAGCTAGAACAGTGCTCTGCTTATTGTCTGACCCATGGGTAAAATCCTGTTTCTTCCAGGGAGTATGCTGGATATGGCAATGCTCCAGACAGGAGACAGAGCTCACATGCAAACAGAGCAGGCAGCAGGGCTCACCCTGAGGTGATGCAGGAAAAACAGACCTGAAGTATCTACTGTGAGCAGACTGCCCTGGGGTCTGGGACAGTGCCAGTATGCCTGTGCTACCCAGAAAGGCAGCAGCCCGCAGCCTCGGCAAAGATGGCACGGTGTGAACAAGAGACCAAGGGGATCGGAGCTCTGCATGTGCCCAGCTCCGAGAAATGAGCCTGTCAGCCCTGGGGGCCTGGCACCTGCCAGCTGAGTCAACAGCATTCCTGGAATCTAAAAGTCAGTCATAAACTCAGACAGGGTTGCAGCAAATGAACATGTTTATTAAGCAATGAAGGTAGAATGACTTCAGCTCCCAAGCACCTTTGTTGAGATTCTAGGTTGGCAGGGCTGGGAGACCCTACGGCTAACCCTGAACAGCTTACTAGGCCAGCTGCTCCAGCAATCTGGGGCATAAAAACAGCATTTGAACTTAAAAATGCTGCAGCCAACCTGGCCATGGACGAAAATGTGGTGGAACACAGCATCCAGGCAAGGGACAGCAGTTAGCCAAGTAGGTGTTAAAGGCTGCTTCTGCAGCACAATTTTCAATAAACAGGCTATGCTTAACGAATATGTACAAATACACTTCCCAGAAGAAAAGGAAATCTATGTCCCCACCCCTACCCCAGGCTCTCCGTGGCTCTTGGAGAAGCCCGGCCCAGGCAGATCAGTCCTCTGCCTCTCTCCCCATCTCTCTTTCATGGCTAGGGAGAAGGGGTCTGCTGGCGAAACAGATCTTTCACAGGAACGAAGCATCCAACTTGAAGCTGATCTGTATCAGAGGCCTGCGCACCTGCCTCATGTGCTCCTACCTGTTGGGAAAAGAGGACAGGGTGAAATCCTTTGCTGGAGTTCTGTAAGCGTAGTGGGAGGATCCCTTTTGTTCAGGTCTGCAAGGAACTGCGAGGGGTCTCTGCAACTTGAGCCAGCAAGGTGCTGGGAGAGAGGGGAGTAGGAAGATAGGCTCCTCCCCTTTGCTCTGAGCACCAGCAGGCCCAGACTGCAGCCTTAATCTTAACCACCCAGCAGAAAAGTATAAAAACGAAATATAAGAAATAAAGCCATGCTGTTATATTGAGCTGTAGGGGACTCAGGTCAACAATTTCTGACATTGCCAGTGAAGCAGAAGACCCAATACCATTATGGGCTACTGGACTCTTTTAGATTATTTTGCTGAGTTTACACACCTATAATATTCAAATAACAGAACTTAACAAAAACAGGGTATACTAATGAATGTCCATTTTGTATCTGTGTATTCAAAGTGGTTAGGGTAGATATATAGTTACATTCTCTTAATGAATAGAATGATTTGTTCTAATGGTGTTTGTAAATAGGATCACAAGTCCGCATCTTGTACAGCAATTAACAACTAAGAATGTATGCAGTGTGTTAATTATTGAAACTGTCCTAGCGATTTGATTTGAAACTGTCTCACTGCTATTTGTTTATCAATAAAATTATGGAAATAAAGAAGAGGCCTTACAGGTCCTGGCTCTGTGTCAGGCCATGCCCTTCTCTCTGCAGCCACAGCTATAGCCAGAGCCCACAACCTGGGGCTTTGGATTATCACTTCCACGCTGGCCCTGATTTGGAGCTATGTGATCTATTTTTAAAAAGGGACAAGCTGGAGAGGTCCCTGCCTCACTGAGGTGCAGAGAATGACAGTGTTGCAGCAGATGGCTGTCTGAGAAGTGGGCCACACACACACACACACACACACACACACACACACACGGGGCGAAGGAACTCTAGGTTGTGTGTTGCGGAACTGAGGCAGGGCTGGCTGTCCTGGGGAAAGCCCTGCTCCCATGCTCCTGCCTGCAATTGCCCTCCTGCTTTTTGCCAACCCAGCAGCTTCTGGCATCTCACCTTCTCCCAGCTACCAGCTTAGCTCTGAGTGCATTCTGATCCCCAGGGCCCCTCTAAGATAGTCACCATCTTCAAACCAAGCATAGGGAAAGGTCGTGCCCCACTGTGATTTGGCAGTGGAGTGACTGGACCCACTGACCTTTCTAGCCTCTTCCTGTGCTTAGTGCTTAAAAGGACCTACTTTCTGATGGCCAGGTGGGCCCAGCTGGTGAAGCTGTGCATGGGAGGACAATCACACTTTTTGCTGTTTAAACTAAGCTCTCATTTCCCTTTAGCTGTTTGCATGTCTTTGCTTTGTTTGGATTTCTGCTGTGGGGTTATGATATTTTAAGATTGCCAATGCCAGACGAACCTTTTACTAGTGATACTTGTTAGATGGAATGTGTGTAGTCCCAATAGAACCTGTGGGGAGATTTCTGGGAGCAACTCCCTCTGTGTTACTGCTATCTGGACCAGTTCCCATACTGCAAAGTGGCTACCACAGAGTCCTCCAGGGTGCATCCGTCCTGTGTAACACAAGGTCCCTGGAGATGGACACCAAGTCCACTCAACAGAGCTCCCTTTGGTGCCTGTCTGCTGCTCGGTTGTTTGCAATTTGAGGGAGTATACCCATAGTAGGCTGTAGGTTTTGTAGCAGGTCCAAAGATCCACAAGGCAGAATGGGGTCTGGGCTTGGGCAACGGAATCAGGATTATAAACACTGCCTGGCTCACTCTGCCCGGGAAGCTTACTTTCAAGAGCAATTCTGATCTCAGATTCCACTGAGCCCCGCTGTGGCAGCCCACTTTTTCAGTCTTGTATGAAGCAGCCATTCTCGGCATTGACTGCCACTGTCCTGAGTCATGGCTCTCTTACATACTGAGCTCCAGAGTCTGGATGTCACACATAGAGAGCATTCCGAGGTTGTGTACATTAGGGAGAGAGACTGAGTCCATCCCTCCTGGCCTGGGACGAGAGCAAAGGATGAGGCAACAGTGTACCCGCTGCCAGGGACCCCCCTCCTCAGAGGAGCTCTGGTCACTGACACTACAACCATCGAGGAACTGAAAGACATTCTGTGAGTTTGATGACTCTGACCACAAGTATATGAAGCCCTCTGTGCTGAAGTCAGACAGATTGGAAGATGACTGCAACAAGGGAACAGTAGTGTCTGACTCAGGGCTATACACCTAAGTGGCCCCCTCTTGCTCTGTAGAAGAAATGCTGCAAAAGAAGAAAGCTGGTGCACTGACACGGGCCTCAGCGGACTCCCCATCAGCAGGTGCATGAGCCACACTGCTTTTGGTGTTAGTACAGTGAGTGCAGATGCTGAGAGGGACCACTGCTGCTTGGCTCGCTGGTTTTGGCTTTTGTTTTTTTCAGCTTTTTTTTCCCTCTCTCTCTTTTTTGGGTTTGCTGACTTTCTTTCCATTGCACAAGTGGTCCTGCTGCCATGACTGTGCTTGCCACAGCTGGTGCAAACCAGCTCACCTGCCTCAGAATCAGTGAGGGTGCCTAAGCAGAGCCTCAAAGGCTCATTCCTAACTTCCACCCCATGCTCTCACCATGGCCCACAGCCATGAGGTTCTTGAAATTGGTATAGATTTCAGTCTCACCCCAGATTCTTTCATTGCCCAGCTCGGGTGGGAAGCACAGTGCTCAGGCTCTACAGCAAGGCCCAGGGAGCTTTGAGAGGTAGTCTCAGGAAGCTAGCAGTAGATATTCATTGGGTCCTGAGCGTGGGCTGAGCAATTTTCTAATTGCTGGGAAGAACCTTGTCCTCCTGGCGCTTGGAAACAATGACTTTTTACTTTTGAGCAAAATGTGTATGTGCTCCATAGTGTCACATAGGACTCAGGCAATGTAAAATGTCACAGAGAGCCCTTCACCTCATCCACTGTCATCACCAGTTCCAGAGAAGCTGAACAATGGCCTGGCCCAGGACATAGTCAGCTATGACCACTCAAGACTTCTTCACAGACAGTCTCTGCCCACAGGCTGGGCTTGGAGGAATCCAGTCAAGTGATTGCAGAGTTTGATGCTAGCTCCCTGGCTTGCAGGCTTTCTTATCTAGTGCTTTTCTTGTAGGGTCCTCTGGTTCATGCATGGATGCTTAGCCAGATGCTACATATACTGACAGGCTGGCCAGTGGCCACAGGGAAAGAGGAATTGACAGGCAGTTGCTGTTCATGAGAGGTCTGTTGGCAGCACATGGCCAGTTCATTCATCCATGATCTCAGGCACGGTGACCAGCCATGAGGGGAAGGCAGGGATGCCAGCCCCTCTCCTTATACCCTACACTTCTTATCTGGCCCTCTCACTTTCCTCAGTCTCAGAGTCAGTATCTTGACTTCGGTTATAGGGTTGTTGTTCAGCTTTCACTTGAAGAAGTAAGACTATGTACTGGTCCTGCACAGATGAGACAGGGCTACTATGTAGAGGTATGGACCTGGAAGGCTGGCTCCGCAGATGTGTCTGTGCCCTTGGACTGCCCGTGAGGACACCATGCCATTGCTGCATGCGCTTGCGTCTCTGCTGGCCTCCAAGCAGCTGTTTCTGCAGTATCTGTGGCTGCATCAGTGGCTCTTCCGTAGGAGGCTAAAGAGCTGCATCTACATCTCTTTCCACTGCTGCATTTGTGGCTTCTGCTGCAGTATCTGCAGCGTCTTCCATTGCTCTGTCTTTGGCTTCTGTCACTGCTGTATCAAGTGCTTCCTTTTGTTGCATGCTTGGCTTCTCCACATGGTACATCTTTGACTTTACCTGATGCATTTGCAACTCCAGTGCCGCAGGTATTGTGGCATCAAAGACAAGCTATCAAGGAGCTTCCCAGAAAGGTATTTACCACTCCCTCTTGTGCCATTCTCGAAGAACAGAAGGCAACAGGCACTCTGCCTCTGGGAGACTGCAGTGCCTGCCTCTGCTGCTTTTGAGGGTCCTTGCTGCCACCATGCTCATGCTTTGGTGTACAGATACTTGCATGTTACATGTGCTAGCATGTGTTTAGACTCTCCATTCTCCTGAGCAAATGAACTGCAGCCTACTGGGCAGCCAAGGCCACCTTGGGTGAGTCTGAGCCTTTACACAAGTCACATCTCCTCTCAGTCACCCAGCTCTAACTGTTCTCCATACCTGCATGGAGGTGTTGCAAGAGTTCTCAAACCCTCCAGTGAATGTGCCAAGTTGGAATGCACTGCAGAAGCACTTGGACTCCCTGCTTTCTGAGGGAGGGCATTTCACTTTCCTGAGGGGGTATTTCCTGGGTGTTTTATCCACCCCCCTCAGGAATCAGGACAGTTAACGAGTGGAGAAAGGTGTTCAGCTGCACCTGTCAGGACACAGTATCACACAGGACTTACTGCTGGCCCACTCCCACTCAGAACGCTAGCCAAACTGAGCTTGGAGCACGGTTGCCCACAGGAATCCTGGCTGTATATGAGCTGCTCTGACCACGGCCAAGGCTGGATTGGGCAGCTCAGCTTCTGCAGCCAGGTGCCAAAGCACAAAACCAGAAGGCCTTGCTGAAGGCTGCTTTAAATGACCATAACTCCTGGAGACGTCCCAAAGTCCCTCTTTCCACCTCCTCTGACCTGAAAGCTAGACTCTTGCACTGCCAGATGCCACTCCTCTTTCATTTCTGGTGCATTCTGCTGGCTTCTGAGGTCAACCTGCTCCTGAATCTGCTCTGCTAGCTACTCCCTGGAAGGACCAACAAGAAGGCTGTGTGTGGGGTCATTAAAAGTCCAGAAACCAGAGACTTCAAACAAGCTCAGACAGAAGACAGTGGAAGGAAGGGACACATTTGAGAAATGCAAGAAGTGGGTAAGACTTCACAGCTGAAATGGGTATTATTACTTTTCCGGTTGAGGCAGACAAGAAAGAGATGAGATTCCTGGAAAAATAAAATTGTCAAAGCTGTATGCAGGGTGTTGAAACCACTTCTGATTGCTTTGAACTGTGCTGGGCACTCTGTATAAAATGAGAGCAGGAGATATAGTTTTGATCCACAATGGACATACAGTGCTAATGAGGGGGAGAGTTACACACATATATACACATTCTAGAGACCTAAAATAAAGACTGTGATAGCACACAGCAGTCCCACACTGCCTTTCAGCCCTTTATGATTCATATAAGTACACAGAAAAGAGAAGATGAGGGGGAGGGTGGGAAAGAGAGAGGGAGAGAGAACACAATATGAGTTATGAGGTTTTTAAACTTTGGATTAAAATTGTATGTTTTAAGCAGCACAACTTCTAACAGCTAAATCTTGGAAACAGCTTATATGTCCATCAACAGATGAATGTGTAAAGAAATGCAGTATTTACGCAGTGGGGCACTACTTTGCCATAAAGATGGGGAGGGAATCTGAGGATGGGGAGGGACCAGAGGGAGGGTAAATGAAAATAAAAAAGATGAAGACACAAGGTGTTTATGTTCCAATTCCCTATGATGAATGTAATTATCATGCATTGCAAGTACAGTCTAGTAAAGTTTCAAAACTGTCATCTTACCTTTCCCTATCCTTTGCTATATACTATATATCTCTTCTCATAGAAAAAGTAGCACCGAATACAGCCTCTTTCTCTCTCCATTTCTCCCAGACTCTCAGTCTCTCTTTAAGACTAGAAGAAAATAACCTCACAGGAAGGAACTATCTCCATAGTCCCTGGGAAATAAGCTGTTAAGCCTGGGCTACCAGCCTTCCCCAGAAAAGGAGAAGCTGGCTCCAGTAGAGGTGACCTGGCCCAGCTGGGCAGGGTCAATCATACCACGAGGTATCCCAGAAGGCATCTAAGAGAGGTCTGCTCTGCAGCTTCCAGGCCCAGCCCTATGTTTGGTCTTTTGGAACCACGTCTTCCCCATTGTGAACACAATGACAAGTCGATAATTTGGATAAAGCTGTCCTGTCCTTCCCCATTTCTCCCTTCTCCAGTGTAGTTAAACTACTCACTATACAATGATTATGGTCCCTTTGCCCTGCCTGATCTCCCCTGCAGGGTACATTCCAGGTGGCCACAACCTGGTACCAAGAAATAAACACACACACACACACACACACACACACACACACACACACACATGCCCAGAGAGAGGACATTCATTCCTAGTTATTTTGACAATTTTAAACAAAGGCTACACTGAAAATTCAATTACAAATCAACCCAAAAGAGGAGAAAACTGGTGAATGATGAAAGGAGAGTCACAATTTCTGAGCACAGTAAGTATAATATTCTGAACATAATAAATAAGGACAGAATGAGGGCCTGGGAGATAGCTCAGTAGCAGAAGCCCCTACCTGGCAAGTGCAAGGTCCTGAGTTCAATTTATGGTACCAAAACAAACAAACACACAAACAAACAAAAACCAAGGACAGAATGGATTCCCATAGAAATGTCCTTTTTAAATAGTTCAAGGATTTCATATACCAAAGGCTAAATTTAGACCCACATCTATCACAGTCAAAACAGATTCAAATATTGAAATAGAAATATTAAATCTACTAGCAAAGAAAGTAGGTAGAAATCTTGGAAGACACAGAGTTCGTAAACAAAAACCAAACTGCACAGGAAATACTTCAAAGAACCAACAACTTGGATCTCATCTTTTGGAAAAGTTTTTGCATGTCAATAGAAATTATCAGAAATAAAAGCAAAACCAACAAATGGGGAAAATTTTAGCCAACTGTCCCTCAGACAAAGGACTTCTATCTAGAATAGATGAAAGAACTAAAAACAGGCCCACAAAATTCAAAGACCCAATCCAAAAATGGGCATCTGAGATGAATACATATTTCTCAGATGAGGAAATACAAATGGCAAATAAATGTATGAAAAAATGTTCAACCTTCTGTCATTTGAGAAATGCAAATTAAAACATTCCTCTCACCCCAGAAAGAATGGCTATCATTAAGAAGTTAATCAATAACAAATGCTGGAGGGGTTGTGGGAATAAAGGAACATTTCTCCACTGGTGGTGGGCATATAGACTGGTAAAACTACTATGGAAATCAGTGCAGACATTCCTCAAAAGGCTAGGATTAGAGGTCCAATTACACACAGCTATTCTCCTTGTGGGTGTTTTTTTTCCGCAAGAACTGAAAACAGCATACCACAGTGGTATATGTGCACTCAAGTTTATAGCAGTGCAACTAATTCTTGGAAATAACCCAAATGCCCATCACCTGAGGAATGGATAAAAAAATGTGATATTTTTACACAATAGAGTATTAACTCAGCTATAAAAAAAGACAAACTTGAGGCTTTTATAGGTAAATGGATGCAACTAGAGACCATACTCATAAGTGAAATAAATCAGGCCCACATGTGTAAACATCATATTGGCTCCCTAGTGTAAAAACCAGAAAAAGTAAATGAAACACAAAAGGTACAATAGATACTATGAAAGGGAAAGAAACTGTTCAAAAGGAAGAAACAACTGGGACAAGGAAAAGGAGAAAAGAGAGAGAAGGAAGGAAGGAAAGAAATAAATAAATAAATAAATAAATAAATAGAAAGATCAGGAAAGGAAGAAAAGAAAGAGAGATGCACATACACAGGATAGCTTGCACAAACTGTAATGTTGTACTCTTTTTCTTTTTTTTTTTTTACATTTTTAGGACAGGGTCTACAGAGTTTCACTGCATAGATATGACTCGTAGTGATCCTCCTGTTTACAGCCTCCCAAGTGCTGGGATTACAGGCACGCGCCACCACACCTAGACTCAACTGCCATCTCAGCGTGCCCCAGGGGTGGGGCCAGCACGGCAGGCCTGGGGATTGAACTCCAGGCCCATGTGTCTGCCTAAGCAGGCGCTTTAATCCGCTGAGATATTCAGCTGGCCCTTACTTTTGTTTTCTGCTGCTCTATTGAAAGACCAAGTTAGTGCTTCATTTTTTGTTTCTTTTTTCATTTTTTGTAATTTTTGACTAATTTAGCATGTTTATATATGGTAATCTAAGCATCTAATTTGAAGACAACAATATGCAATTCAAGCATTGCTGAATTCCTGTAATTTTGTTTAGTAAAATTCAGTGTCCTTTTTAAATGTTTTACTACTTTATTCTCTTTAAAAAATAAAAAAGTAAACAGTTCAAGGAACTTTCCTAACAGTCCACTATCCATGGCAAGGTATTTCTGTGATGGAGAGACTTCACACACACACACAAGCACGCATGCATGCGCACACACATATACATACACTCAAATAGATGGAAAAATTGAGGATTAGGAATCTGCCAAGGTCAAACTCCTGGGGCCAAACTCAGACAATGTCTCTTAGCCCTCAGTTCTTTTTCATTCAGTAAGGCTGTTTTGGGCATTAGAGATGGAGTAACTCACCTTTGGCTGAGAAACTGAGGCGTACAATTTCATGTAACAGATCATAAAGGTCCTTCTTTGGCTCCCAAGTTAGTTTGAACAGTGCTATTGTACAGATGACTGCCCAAGTGTGTGCCTGTGTGCAGACATTCAGGACTAGAGGAGATGCAGAGTGGTTAACTCAGCTATTTGCATTAGGCTTTGACTCATGCTTGGTGTTAATACTTGGAATAACCACTAAGACAACAATATGCAATGTATTAATTACTGAAAATGTGCCAGTAATTGGTTTCAAAACTGTCATATATTCAACACTGAATTGTTCTGTGTTTTAACCTACTACAGACTCCTTGGGTAAGCCCAGCTTGTGGTATGTGTTGGAGGTGTCAGCATGGATGAACAGGGAAGATGTCTTTTCTTGAGGTACTTAACACAGGAGAGGAAAAGCAGGGCTCTAAAAGCCATGCCTTGGCTGACACTCACAAAGGATCTACAAACCCTGAGAGGATTTGCCTAACCTTATCAGATAAAAAAGTTACACTTCTTGTTATATAGGTCTTGCTTTGTCTTGGTCTTAACCATCCGGCAGAAACGTATGAAAACGAAGTATAAAAAGTAAAGCCACATTGATATGCTGAGCTATAAAAAGCTCAAATCAACTTTAAACATTGCCAGTCTTACGGAAAACCCACTATTTCTGCTGAATTCAAGCACCTACAATATTTAAATGACAATGGAATGCCCTTCTCTGAAAAACTAACCAAAAAAGTGGGATAAAAATGAACGACCCTTTTGTATCTGTATACTCAAAATGGTTGGGATATACACCTCCACTCTCTTAATTCAATGAATAGAGAAGTTTGTTATAATAGTGTTTGAGACAGGATATCATGTCTGCATCTTGTACAATGAATAACCACTAAGACAACAATATGCAATGTATTAATTACTGAAAATGTGCCAGTAATTGGTTTCAAAACTGTCTCATTGATACTTGTTTCTCAATAAAATTATTTACAAAATAAATAAATGAATAAAATAAGAAAAGGCATGCCTTTCAGAGTAGTTTAGCTTCCAATTTGGGTCAAACTTTTCTTGAGGCATCAAATGTCCTTTATGTAGTTCACATGAAGAAGAGAGTAGGGGCTTGGTCTCACTTAGAGAACTTCTAACCTTTCTGTTTGCAAGGGCCCACTTATGTTCTCAGCTGCACATGAAAATTCATTACATCTTGTACAGCAATTAACCACTAAGAAGAATATATGCAGTGTATTATTTGTTGAAACTGTACTTCCGATTTGATTTGAAACTGTCTCATTGCTGTTTATCAATAAAACTTTGAAAAAAAAAAGAAAATTCATTACACCAGAAATAGTGATTCTGTTTTTAAATATAAAGAGTAGGCTTTCTGCAAAGAAAACTGGGCACATGAAGTTTAGAGGCTCAGACATATATGTGGAACAAGACTGCAGACGTACCTGAGAGTGGTGGCTACTGGCTGTATCAGAGGAGGAGAGGTCCTCCTTCACCTTCGGCTCTATCAGGATCTCGGGCACCACTGGTTCCATCAGGACTCTCTCCATCACTGGCTGCACCAGCACCTGCTGCACCTCCTGCATATCAGATTTTATCGACTCCAGGTAGCAGGAGTCCACTGAGAACTCTAAGTCAATTGGTTCCTGGCATCTTCTAGGGTCCATCATGCTTTCCATCACAAAGGCATGAAAGGTTGTAGCTGAGGAAGAAATCACATTGGAATTCATAACTAAGAGTGCAAGTACATCTGCATTTCCAATTAAGGAGAGACTGCCAGGTACAAGGAACCATTCAGAACATTTCAAAACCATTCACATTTGAAAATGAAGAAAAAGGAGGGCACACTTGCCTCTGCCCACCTCCCAGCTTATGCTGGTGCCTGAACCCACTCCCATGTGTTAGTGTTGTTTCCTTCTGAAATTCATTTGCCTTGGTGCTGCCATGAAACTTGTCAAAGCAAATTAAACCGATTCATAGGTCACTTCTGAACAACTGGGGCCACCAGAATGCAGGATCTCAGAAGTACACAAAGTGCTCAGGGAGGTACTGCTGCTTGACTTTGCTTTAACAGCCCTGAAAGCACTGTAAAGAACATTAAAAGTTGTAGAGTCATCCTGGAAAACAGTCTGGCAATTTCTAAAACAAGTTACATACACCCTTCCCATATGACCCACTAGTCTATGGCCAGGAATTTACCCAAGTGAAATGAAAGTATTTTGACACAAAACCTCCATATTAATGCTTACAGACACTTTATTCACAATCATACTAAACTTGGAAGCAGTCCAGATGTCTTAGAGGGAGCATGTTCATAAAGTACAGTGCTACCCAGCAATAAATAATGAATCATTGATGTGTGCAACATGGATGAAATCTTCATTGCACTTTGCTACATGAAAGACGCTAGATCAAAGAGGCGAGACATTCATGTCTTGGATGCACATAGCTCACTGGTACTGTGCTTGCCCAGAATGTGAGAGGCTCTGGGTTTGATCCCCAGAATTAGAAAAAAAGACTAGACACTATACAAATCCATTTACATAACATTCAGGAAAAGGAAAGGTAAAGTAAAATACAGGTGAACAGTTGTCAGGTGAAGGGGCACAAGGGTGACACACAGAAAGAGCACAAAGGGGATGGGTCATGATGCAGCTGTGGCCCTTGGCAGCGGTGAAGATACTCGGCTCTCTGCCTCTGGCAGCACCCACAGAATTGTACCTCTTAAGACAACGAAGTGTGCTGTATGAAGATTTAAAAATAAATTGTTCTAGGAGTAGAGAACTGAGATTAGACAGAAGACTGTGACAAATGACAAATGAGCCTAACTGTATTACAAGGAAGTGACACATCTACACCAAAAGGGGTGAGGACTATGGAACTTGGAATCAGCAATATGTCTGGATGTTGTAAGGCTAAGGATAAAACAACTGCGCATACATATTAGCTCAAGATGGCAAACTTGTTTCTTGCAAGGGTATGGATAATCAATTGTGAAGCTAGTTTTGATATATTTTATGCACTAGATAAATCAACAAATATATTGCAAATAATGAGAATTAGACGTCTTGTCAAATACAGTTATTGAAAATAAGCATAAAGAGGTCATCGAGATAGCTCAGTGGACTAAGTGCCTGCTTAGGCAAGTGCAGGGACTGGTGTTCAATTCCCAGTCCCACATGCCACACCGGCTTTACCCTTGGGCATGCTGAGCTGGCCACTGAGACCAGGTGTGGTGGCTCATGCCTATAATCTCAGTGCTGTGGAGGCTGAAAACAGGAGGATCACTATGAGTCCCAGCTGCATAGTGAGACCCTGTACCAAATATATAGAAAAAAAGGAAAATAGGCATTAAAAAAGGATAGAATGAATACTGTAGTGCTGGGTTACAGTAGCAGGTACCAGCAGATTCCTCTTATTTTTGACAGAAAGGGGGTATGCTCTTGGGTGGGTAAGCATGCATCCCTATCTTTCCTAACTCTGTTTCCTGAGGTGGGCACAGATGCAGTGACTCACCTATAGCAATGAGGACACTGGGAGCTCAGGCCTTAATCTGTAGTCGTTGTTCTCTAGAAAAACATCTAAGGCTCCTCAGAGAAGAGGTTGACTTCAGTGACCTCAAACAATTTATAAAACAAGGGGAGGAAGAAAAGACAAGGACTAGATGATAAGATGAAGCAGTCAGTCAAAAAGGAAGAACAATCTAGAAAAAAGGGATGACACTGAAGTATAAGCTAAATAATAAAAGATGAATACACACAAATCCATATTGACGTAAATGAATAATTGAGCAAATGATTCCGGTAAAAAAAAAACAAACAACGAATGAAGGCAATAGAAGTGAGCCTTGGGATTTTTCAGAGGTAACTGGATCTAGAGTGTGTGATGCTAGGATTGATTCATGGTGTAACACTAGGATTAGGGGTACTAGAAAAAAACATCCTAAGTAGCATGGATAAAGTATAAGGGACAGAAAGAGCTGTGACTGACCCTTGTTGCTTAATTACCTTCTGCCTGCCATGAACTGTTTCTCCTATGCAATGCCCCTCTCCCATGTCATCCCACCTTGGAGTCAACCAATTATGGACTGAAACCTCTTCACACTGTGAGCTAAATAAACCTTTCTCCTCAACTTTGGGTGTCAGGTGTTTTGTCAGTGCAACGAGTAAAGTAACTAAGGCAGGTACTACCTTGTCTTCATCTTGAGAAAGCACAAGGGAATTCCAAATTGAGGGACAGTCTTGAAAATTCCTGGCCTGTATTTTTCAAACGTATGAAGATCATAAGACAACGAAAAGAAACTAAAGAGACATGTTGCGTAAATGCAGTGAGGGATCATGGCGTGGATGCTAAGAACAGAACATTCTGGGGAAAGAACCAGGGGAAATTGAACAGTCTAGAGTTTAGGTAACATGGACCAATGTTAGCCTATTGCCGTGGGCAATTGTCCTCTGCTTATGTAAGATATTACATGAGGGAAGCTGAGTAAAATGTGCCTTAAATGGAAATGGAAACTTCCACTCTGTTTTCTACTTTTCATGTGTACTATTTCTGCAACTCTTCAAGTCCAAATTTATTTCAAAATCAGAATTTTAGAAACATCTGGACACCTCACACTGACTCTTTGCACCCAAGGATTGCATACTTTACTAACATGAGCAAACTGTCCTTCGATCATGGCATGTTTTTTTTTTTATTTTAGTAAGAGTCTACAGGGTCTCACTACGTAGATCAGACTTGTACTGATCTGCCTCTGTATAGCCTTCCAAGAGCTGGGGTTACAGGCGGGGCCAGCATGGCACGCCAGGGATCGAACTGCCCCTGCTATGTCTACGTAAGCAAATGCTTTAATCCGCTGAGCTATTTGGCCAGCCTACAGCATGAGTTTTAGATGAATATTTAGAGTGCAGTAACATCTCAGTTCATGAATGTTTCTGCTGAACAATTTACTCCCTGAATAGAAGTGTTCAGCAAAATTTTGCTTCCATTCTCAAACTCCACATCAGGTAATGAACAGAATCCTGACTGTCTTCCTTGCACAAGCAAGAATGGGACCACTTTCCTCAGAATTGTGGAGCAAAGTAAGTTCATAAACTGAGGCACCACAATATTTGGAAAATTCTGGTCTGAATGCTTCCAAAAGAAGACTCTTAGCCAAACTCTTCTACTTAATTCGATTTTCACTACCAACCAACCACTTTCCAAATCAGTTTTGTATTTTAATAGTGTATTTATAATTCTTTGATTCCAAATGAAGACAAAATCAAATAATATGTGTTTGGTTGTGGTATTGGGATTTCCCTAATGTACTGAATAATTAAAGATTGTTACTTTTCATGGTCACTTTGACACTGAGGACAAGCCAGAAGTTACATAGTGCAGGATCCGATATGGTGGATGAGAACACACAGAATGATTTTCCATGCTTGCCTTTGCATGGTACTTGGCAACAGCATTCACTGGATTTTTTTATTGTACCTCATAAAGACACAAAAGAGGACTACAGAGTTGCTTCAGGAAGTGGCAAAAGTGATGAATAAAGTGTCTGAATGGAGGAAGAATATTCTGAAGGGAATTAATGGCAATGTGTCTTTGTAATAAACTTTAAAAATTTAAATAGTCATGTACATTTCAATCACCCCTTGTAAATGACAGTACAGAATTTAGGAGCTGCTTTGTTGGAACTACACAGGCCATCTGTATCTACACATCTTAATATGCCCACTTTTGTTAGAAAACTCAGCTGTGGAAGGCTATAGGGGTTTGTCCATTGTAAGTTTAACAACAATAAATTGGAATTATCTACAGGAAATTGATCAGGACATCAATATAAATAGGTTTTAAGATATCATTGCTCTTATAAGTTTTAGAAATCAGTTATAAATGCATAGGCTTCCCCACTCTTGTCTTCAAAGGATTTTTCTGGGACAAAGCTCTAAGACTGAGGGGAATAACAGATGGGCTGTTAAAGTATGAGTACTTAAAACATAGATGCATTAAAACTGTTTTTAAAACCTGTGAAAAATTAAAAAAACTAAAACAATAAAATATAAGGTCAAAATTAAGGCATTAATTCAACATACGGAGATTCTATGATACAAAATATCTAAAATACTGATTCAACTAATTAAGGTCAATATGAATTACATATTTACCATTAAGATTTGTCAATTTTATGCAACTACAGTTGTAGAATGTTTATTTATAAATAGTCACCATTTTGAGATGTTTTCCTCCTTTGCCCCCATTAAAATTTAATGGGAAGAAGTTTCTTTGGGATGCCATGGCTGTGTCATGGCAGAAAAGACTGCATGAGTTTGAAAAGAAGTGAGATCCACCGCCCATCTTTTAAAGATTAAAACTAAATGAAAGAGAATGGTACCACTTCCAAGCACTTGAACCCAGGATATATTCCATTTTCTTGCTCTCAGATCATTATCTCAAAAAAGGAAAAAAAATATTTGATTCACTCCCGTGATTTCACACCATTATCAACAGGGCATTATCTTCTTTGAAAATTGTAACTACCTTGGTGGTCATCATTTTGCTTTAGATAGCCCCATGGAAATGCTTGAAGATACCTACTTAATGAATCTGGTATGACTTCCGAGGATGATATGCTGGTCTCAGACGAGGGACTTGACACTTCAAACCTATCTGGAACAACATATTCTGATTCACGTGGCTCAACTTTTACTTGGGGATCTTGATCCTATGAATTTCCAAAAGAGGAACACATTACAAAGTGTTTGGAAAGAAAAAAAAAACCAGAAAAAGCATGTACATGAATTTTGACATATTTCATATCATGATCTGTAACACTGCTTCAATCAAGTGAAAATGTAGCCAGGTGTGGTGGTTGTGCATGCCTGTCATCCCAAAGGTGTGGGGACTGAGGCAGGAGCATCACTGTGAGTTTGAGGTCGGCTTGAGCTACTCAGCAAGACCCTATGTCAAAGAGCACTATAAACAAACAACCTGAAAACCTAACAAAAATCGTCGAACATGTCCCTAAAGAAAACTAGAAGACAAAAGCATGGTTTAGTGTTTATAGATTCAAGAAGGTATACAATACCATTTCCTTAACAACTTTTTTCAATAAAATGATACAGACTTTCAAAACAAGATGATAGAAAATTAGCAATGTTTATTCTACTGCATGTTATCTTCAAAGTAGTTATTCAGATTACCAGATAAAGGAATGCAAACTGATCGAACAATTAGGTATTAACTGCTCCTCTCAATAAACCAGTAGAAGCTAGTAGTACAATTATCTTAGCTATCTTTGTGTGTGTGTGTGTGTATGTGTATGTGTGTGTGTATACCCTTTCTTCTTTCATTTCTCTTTTCTCCCATCCTAGTTATTCCTTTTTTGAGCAGTTTCCTTTTCTCAGTATCTGTTGTACCTTTCACATTTTAACTACTGCTTCACTTTCTTAGGCTAGGGAGACAATACGATATTTATGCATATAGGTCTCACTTATTTCACTTATGAGTATGGTCTCTAGTTGCATACATTTATTATAAAAACATCAAGTTTATCTTTCTTTATAGCTGAGTAGTACTCCATTATGTAAAACAAGCTTATCGTCTTTATTTTTATTTTTTAAATTTTATTGAGAAATATCAACGAGACAGTTTCAAAGCTGATTAATAGGACAGTTTCAATAATTAATACCTTGTACACTGTTATTTTCTTAGTGGTTATCCACAGCATAAGAGGCAGACAGGATATCCTGTCCAAATACTATTAGTACAAATCCCTCTTCACATTGAATTAAGTGAAAGTAGGTGTATATGTATCCTAACTATTCTGTATATACAAATACAAAATGGTCCTTCCTTTGTATCCCTTTTTTTGGTTTTGTTTTGTCCTGTCAGAGATGGGTATTCTACTGGCATCTAAATACCATAGGTGCTTGAATTCAGCCAAACAATCCAACACAGTTTAGCAGTCCACAACAGTAGTGGGTTATCCTCAGAAGTTGTTGACTTGAGCCTTTCACAGCTCAGCATATTACTATAGCTTTACTTTATTTACCTCATTTTTATACTTTTCTGCTGGATGGTTAAGACCAAGATAAAGCAAGACCTATATAACAAGAAATGTAACTTTTGTATCTGATAAGGTCAGTCAAGTCCCCTTAGGACTTATCCTATAACCCTGTACCGCACTTTGTAGATCCTTTGTCAGTGTCAGCCATGTGGATGAATCACAGCCATTGCTTGACCAATTTGCTCTCTGTGAAAGCCTGAGAGAAGGATTTCTCTCCATGTGACTCTCCTTAGGCACACTGTACGTCATCGATCACATTCCTCTGTGGCTCAATAATCTCCTTGATCAGAAAATCTGCGGCACAACTGAGTTACATGGTGTTACGGTACAGGTTCTCCTATGTCCTGAGCCTTCACTGACCTTGAAAGGCTAGGGCCAAAATGTTGGCTGACCTTGCATTCCCTTCCTTTTCTCCAGTTTTTGATCTGCTGACTTAAGTTGTTAACCCTCCAGAAGAGAAGCTTATTATTACCCTGTAACATATGCAGTTCGGTTTACCCTATCTGTCTAAATATCAGACATCTTAGGCATAACATGGAACAGGTATTTTCCATCAAGTATTCATAATTGCATATTGTTTTTATTCACTTCTAGGTCAGTGGGTAAGTGGGTTGCTTCCAAGATTTAGCTATGACAAATTGTGCTGCTATACACATGGCTGCACATGTATCACTCTAGTATGATGTTTTCAGTTCTTTTGGGAAAATATCCAGAAGGGGAGTAGCTGGGTGAGATGGAACCTCGAAACATAGCTCTTTGAGGATTCTTCACACTGATATCCACAGTGGTTGTACCAGTCTGCACTTCCACCAACAGTGCAGAAGGACTTTTCTCCACAGCTCTTGCATCTGTTGAGATGATCATGTGGATTTTGTCTTTGGCTCTGCTGATACAGTGTATTACATTTATTGATATGCATATACTGATCATTCTTGTATTTCTGGGATGAATCCCCCTTGGTCATGATGTATTTGCTGCATTCTATTTGCTAGCATTTTCTTGAGCAATTTTGCATCCATGTTTGTTAGAGAGATTGGCCTGTAGTTCTATTTTTGGCTGTATCTTTCCCTGGTTTGGGTGTTATGGTAAGACTTGCCTCCAGAAATGAATTAGGGAGAACTGCTTCTCTTTCAATTTGATTAAAGAGTTTGAGAAGTATTGGCATTAAATCTTTAAATTTCTTGTAAAGTTTAGCTGTGAATCCATCAGGATCTGGGCTTTTCTTTGTTTTTATTACACTTTCAATTTCACAGTGATACTGAGTTTTTCAGGATTTTATATCTTCATGATTCAGCTTTGGTAATTCATATATATATGAACTCATATATATATATGAATCTGTCTGTCTGTTCTGTGTTTTTCATCCCATGAGAGTGAAGATTTTCAAAGTAGCTATTTATGATCTTCTGAATTTCTATAGGAGCTGTAGTGATTTCACACTTTTTATTCCTCATTGCATGAATTTGTTTTTTCTTTCCTTTTTTGATAAGGCTGTCTAGGGGTTTGGCAATTCTATTTATTCTTTCAAAGAACAAACTCTGATTCATAAATTCTTTGTATTGTTTTCTTAGTCTCAGTTGCATTAATTTCTGCTGTGATCTCTATAGCATCCTTCCTTCTTTGGGCTTGACTTGCTCTTCTTGTTCTAGAAGCCTGAGGTGCAGCATTAGGTTGTCTATCTGCTCGTTGTTTTCCTAACTGGATCGTCTGTGCAATCTGTCGATCACTGGTCATATGAAACTTAATTACGTAGCTTAGCAGTGAAATACCTCACATCTCTGCCAAAATAGTTTGCTTGGCTGTGTTCTGTTGAGTCAGCTTGTGACATGTATCCATGCTGATTTGCTTACAAGAAACCTGCTTGCTGGGTCACATCCAAGCATTTCAACTTCAGGAAATGGCATGACTTCAGTATCCAAGGGTATTGTGTTTTGTACATTTAAGTGGTATGTTTCTAGAGATGTGCCAATCTTGGGTTTAGATGGATAATTTGATGGGGTGGTGGTTTGAGGTAGGGTAAGCCCTGTCTTCCTTCCATTCTTTATCAGAGCCATCTACTGATCTACTCAACTAGTTCCCTTTTTTCTGAATGATTTAAATGGCCATTTATACACTTGGATATAGATTAAGCTGTCTGTTTTGTGGACCCATTTGTTTTAGCCTATTGATATAAATTCAGTAACTTTAAATGAACTTAAATGACAGTGTCATCCTCAGTAATGGTAACTGGCTTGATACAAAAACCTAAGAAACTACTTTGAAAGTAAAAGATACAACCATTTTATAGTATAATCAGGATTTAGGCCTGAAGCCAGTCTTTCATGAGATGCAGCTAGAAGCTAAAAAGATAAAATGAAAATGCATGTACAGGCACAGGAAGGCAAGTAACATGCTTTTTCAATTTTGAGAGATTTTGGATTTCCTTTTCTTCCAGAACTGTCTCCATGAACAGTATGCATGGTAAGAGAGTACAAAAGAAGCATCTGCTATCCCATGTATACGATTCACTTTACAACAGAACTTCTCAAAAGGAGTTTCTACACTTAGCCTCTGATCCTGCCATTCTGCAATTCTGCCTACTCCAAGGAAGACTTTATCTCCGTGCCTGCCTCCATATTCAACTCAAACTCATCTCTACAAGCTTCATGTTGACTGCCAGGTCCTACTCTTCCAGTCTTTTCTGCTCACCTGCTCAACCCATTAGCAGATTTGGCAGCACTCATCCTTCCCTCATCCTGGAAGTACTGTCCTTAACCGGCCTACAATCATGCCTCACTAGTCACCCTGATTTGACCCCTTTCTCGCTCATTGCCAAACTCCACAGCTCACACCTCTATCTTTGTCACTATCTGCCTGGGTGACCTCATCCAGGCTTGTAGCTATAGGACCATTTGCACCAATAATTGTCAAATTCAGGTCTCTGGTTCAATTGTGACGTGTTCAGTTGGATGCTCATGCTCCCAACTGATCAGGTTAAGAACCTTAAAGTCTCCCTAAATCCTCTCCTCACATCCTTCATCAAATCTCAGAGAAAATCAAAGGTCCTTCCTTCAGCATGTTCCAGAGTCTGATCACTACTCACAACTTCCACTGTTCCTACTCTGGTCCAAGCAAGCACCATCTGCATTTGGGAGATAGCCTCCTTCCTGCTCTGCCGGCTTCCATTCTTGACTTCCTTTCCATAGTCTATGGTCAACACAGTGACCTTTCAAATAAATAGGTCACATTATGTCATCCTTGTGCTGCACAGACATTAATGCCTCCCGCATTCATTCAGAGTATAAGCCCAAATCTGTATATAATATGCTCCAGCTCACAACAATTCAGTTGGGAACTGTCACAGGTGCACTGGATAAGATTCTCAGGTGGACTGTGCAAGATTCGCTTTGTTGGATTATGAATAAATCTGACTTAAGAACGTTCTCATGGAATGGAACCTATTCGTAAGTCAGGGATTTACTGCAGTGGCTCTCAATGCCCTACTTGACCTGACATCCAATTGCATCTCTGACTGTCTTACTTCCTCTCAGCCACAAGCGCTCTGCCCCAGCCCCTGTGCCCTCGTTGATATTTCTCTGAACATTGAGCACACTTGTACCCTAGTGGCAGTAGTACTCCTCCTCCTTTGAAGAGTTTCCCACAAGAGCTCTTCATGCATAGTCTTTTCACTTCAATTCCTCATTCACGTTTAGTACTATGCATCCTACCTGTCATACTCTCTGTCCTCATCTTGGCTCTATTTTTTTCTGATAGCTCTTATCACTTTCTAATACATACTTTCTTTACTCAATTTGTTTATCTTCTTTCCCATTGCTAGAATGCACGATATACTAGAGCAAAGGTTTCACTATTTTGTTAATGGATGGCCCAACACTTTGGTCCACTTAAAATGAACCAGAATTTGCTCTCAAAATAAATACATTTGAGATGTTAAAAGACATAGAACCATGACATGACAAAATTATGAGGTGACAAAGACTGAAGCTATGTCAGATGTAGCTCTGAAAGTAGATTCTTCTTCACTGGGCAATAATAAACATGAGTATTGGGATCTGACAGACACAGATTTGAATCCTGATTCTGCTATTTGTTGTGAGACTTTGGGTCAGTTATTCAATAGAAATCCAAGATTCATTACCTGTAAAACTGCAATGAAAATGCCTCATAAGTTTACTGTGGGGCTTACATGACTAAGTCAGATGGGCAGCAAGTCCTCAGTGTTCTTTACTTTTCAGCATTATTCTTCTTCTGTCGTAAATACTACACCATTTCCCACTCACAAACTCGTTGTGGTTTTCTGTGCTTCCTCTGCTTGTATTTGGTTGAATTCCTTGAACTGCTGGGTTTGTAGCTTTCATCAGGTATGGACAATCTCTGGTAATTATTCTAATATCTTCTCTACAGCCAACTACCACCACTTCAAAACTCCATTCAATATGGATTTTGCCACTTGAGAGTTTCCAAAGGTAATTTTTTGTTTTTCCTTTCTCTATATTTTATCATTGTGTTTAATTTTGGAGAGTTTCTACTGATTTATCTTTAAATCCACTCATGTACTAGACCCACAATGCCTCATCTGTCATCAATCCCACTCCGTGTTGATTTTAAACTTCTGACTTGAGAGTTTTTCCCCTGATCTCTCCTATCTCAACTTAGCCTTTTTGTACCTAATTGCCAACCTGTTTACAGTTCCTTGCACAATTATTAGGTTAAGCAGAGGTATTTCTTCAAAAGGAAGAAGGCCTCACCTGCATGTGTGCATGCACATTGTGTGTGTGGTGCTATGGATGCTAGGCACACATGCTACCGTTGAGCTATACCCTCAGTTCAGAAGCCTGATGTTTGCACAGTAGTATCTTGTTAAAAGAAGAAATGCTAGAAAATGCATTTCAAAATCAGTGGGTCCTGTTTAAAATATGTGCTCACAGATTCTCCACTTGCCAAGAAAACTCAAACAACAAAAAGACTTCTTCAGAAACACATAGATGCTTTCAGACAGAACCATGGGGGTTCCTGAGAATCACGGTGGCCTTGAAAACCCCATACTGCACATGTGAGGATTTCAATAAAAATAGTAATGTGCGTCAACACATACACACATAACACATGTTATATTTACGAGTGCCTACAGGTGCCAGGCCTTGTTCATGATGCTCAGTATGTTGCTGATCAACAAGACAGCCAAGGTCCCTGTTCTCACAGAGGCCTCATTCTGTGGCAGGAATACAGATGACATACTAATATGATTCATTTGGGTATTAGTCCATCCCTATGAGGTAGTATTATGGCCATTTCCATATTACAGATGAGCAAACCAAGGGCTTCGAGGAAGCAAAGTTATTACATAACTGATCAGTGGCAGAGCTGGGAATCAGAGGGGACGGGAGGGGAGGGAATCAAACCCCTATCTTTTGACTTGTCTGCCATCACTGCTCTCCGCAGCACTGTGGAGAGCTGCTGTGGTCCATGCACCCAAGAAGTGGCATGTAAGGGCAAGGTCTATATTGTTACTTTTTGACTCAGTAATACCTTCTGCGATGCCCCTTCTGCTCTGCTCTACCACTCTTTCTGAAGTGGAATTTTTCCTTTCTATAATGGAGTTTTTGATCACTGAGGATAGGCCCAGATTTCAGATTTCTATTAAAGAATATCCCTAAAGAATCTACTCTACTAACTTTGGGGCATGCAGAAATGAATGCAACATTGAATGCCATAGGAAAGGAAAGGGACAGCCTAGGCTAATTACAGCCTGGGTACTGCCATGTTTGGGGTGGAGCTTACCTTCTTTTTTGAAGTTATTGCAAGGGTAATTACTCCAATGAGAAATGTCAACCAAATGGCAACTGTGGTACCCTGCTCATGAGAGCTACTTTGTGAAATTAAAACATTGGCAATGCACATTAGCTAAGTCATCTACATTACAGGAATCTGGCCAATTTTAGTCCACAGTTTTCAATGTACATATGGCAGAGAAAGCAACAGCAGTACTTACCCCATAAGTTGTTGCTTCAAGGCATCTATAAACAAGGGAACAAGAGATGGTAAGCATATCTCAAGAGCCATTTCAATTGACATTTTGTCACACAATAACAGCAAAGTTCAAATAATAAAAATTATTTTTTCTAGTATATAACATCAGTTCTGAGGTGTTGCTTCTCTAGCACAAATTTCTACAAAGTAAATCAACTGGACCCTCATGATGAAGTTTGCTACCAGTTTTTCTTTCTACCGGTTTTGATGCCATATTTTAACAGTGGTGAGCAAAGCAAGGTTGTTTTTCTTTGAAGCCAATGTATATGAGCAAATGTTCTTTCTCAATTTTGAAACCAACTGCAATTACAAAAAGTGCCTTCAGGATAAAATTAATTCTGTTTTTTATAATTAGAGAAACTCTCCATTCTCAGGCTCATTAACAATTCATTTCTAAGAAAATTAGAATTCTGGTGCCCAAGGTGAGAATGGAGCTTCACAGCACACTGGTGTCTGAATGCTTTTCAACCATTAAAGAGAAATTAAAAGACAGAGGAGAGGGGAAGAGGAAAAGAATGAGGGTAGGGAGAGAGAATATAAATGAAAATCTTTTAAAAAAATATTGAAAGTAATTTTTCAAGCCTTGTTTCCGAGAATTGATCTCCCAGCTGGGGACATGGCTCAGTGGCAGAGCACTTGTGGAGCATGTGAAAGAACCTGGGTTCCATTCCCAGCTTCCCACTACCAACACCACAGTTTTTCTTTTAGAAAAGCCAAAGAATGGAAAACCCCTGGCATACCATACAATGAGAAAATGGAGTCTGCTGATCCATGTGATAAATAAATAAGTCTATGTAGCAGCAAGACAATGACAAAATGGTATCTATGAGACCCTGAGTTGACTAAGAAGAGACAAAATTAATAGATTAGCTGAATTATTACACATTTCAAAAAGTGAATATTAGTCCTGTGGACAGAAGTTTCTGTATGTCACAGGACCAAGATAAAAGTCTATTTCTTCATTTCTAATGCTAGAGAATGTATAGATTTGAAAATTTTGTTTTGGATGTTCCAAGTACATAATATTTGGCAGTGTTGATTTCCACAACACAAAACCACCAGTGAATGAGTTATTTCAGGCATTTGTGTGTATAACTGAACCATAATATGTTTATTACGCATTTTTTACTGATTTGGTTTTCAGTGTTAAGTAATTTGAACATAAGGTCACTTGTAAAAGTGCTCAAGCATCATTTAAGTAAAATTCCTAACAGAAATTATTGTCTATATATTTTAGATTGTTTTTTAGTCTTTCCCTAAATGCATAAGGCAGTTTAGTTGAACAGAATGTTTACTCCCTGATAAATGATGCTAAAAGTATCAAGACCCTGTTTTGGATCTTTCCTTCTTCATACTGTAGCCCTGGTGGACCATGTGGTACCTGTGACTTCAACAAGGGCCACTCCCAAATGGTCATCTCAAGATCTGGCCCTGTGCTGCAGGCCCTTGTATTCAACTACTTTCAGGATAGGAACCTGGCTGTCTAACAGACACCTCAACCCATCACGGTCCATTCCTCCTCCCGACAGCCGCCTAGCTTTAGGAATACTGCCCCCTTTCACCCAGTGACTCACAACTAAGACCTGGGAGTCATCCCTGACCTTGTCTCAGCTCTCTTCTGCCTTGTATAAAAGCCCATTATTGCTTTCTGTCTACTTTCTCTACATGGTGGGTTTCTTGAAGGCAATGAGCAATGCCTTGAATCTTACGTATGTAAGCACACAGCACAGAGTTGAGTGCTCCTTAAGTATTTGCTGAGTTAATAAAGTAATAAACAAAGAACTCACAGTCCATTCAGGGAAAATGTTTGTACATCCTTCATCTCAAAGTTGTACAACTTAGCACAATTATTTTTTAAGGCAAGCTGAGAACTCTTACCTGTTCATTAAAAAACAATTTAATGTTTTCATGCTGATCTATAAATAGTAAATGTGTATACCTAGGGTACGTAACACATGAATACATTGCTGTGTTGTCTAACATGGCAAACACAAGCTACAGATGGCTACATCCAAATTTAAGCTATGAGATAAAAATTAAAATTTAGTTCTTCAGTCCCAACAGCCACATTTCCAGTACTTGGAAGCTGAATGTGGTGCCAGGTGAGGTAAGGACCTGTCATCACTTCCATCTCCACCCTCACAGAAAGTCTATGGACAGTGTGCTACCAAAGGAGGTGGTGAGTCTCAAAACACTGCAAAGCCCACACCCAGCAAGTAAGAATACAAACTAATGAAAGAAACTTGTTCCTGTTTTGGTGAACTGACATTTCATGCCTCTCTGTAAGATAATATTGAAGCCAGAAACTTGACTTTGAATATGAAAGCTACCAATAATCACATACATGTTTGAAACAAAAGGATAGGGAGTATTTCATCCCCAGCCAGTCTGCACACAGAAATAATGGATTTGGGTTCAGGATAGGATAGGATGTGCATCAGAAGGTTTGCAGTCATGTGCAGCAACAGCTGCTGCTTGAGGTCCATGCTAACACAACTTGCCTTTTCCAAGTTTTGTCACTTAATTTTCACCAAGAAAGAAAATGATCTTAGAACACTTTGTTAGGTGTAGTTATATTTTGAAAAACACATTTGAATTCTACCAAGAAAAGTGCCTCTGTTTCCTAAGGTAAAATCTCAAAATACTCTACTTAAACTGCACCCTTGATGTTTCCAGAGTAATCTTTCATCAAGGTTTGATAGCCATTAGTAAAGTGCTCAACTCTGCTGAACTCCTTTAATGTGAGGTTGTTCTTGGCTCAAGAAATTATGTGCTTCTGCTTGCTATGTAAATGAAACCGTACATATGAAAAAGATGTCAAATGAATACTGCCCTTTCATCATCAGTGACAGGGGAGACAGGAAACCCCATGAGAGTGCAAGCAGAATACTAAATGTCTATCCTCTTATAGCTGAGATGATATAACCTTAAATGATGGTGATGAAAGGAAGACCAGATTTAGCTTCTTTCTTATAGCCAAAACTCAATTTTTCTCAAATCAGGCTTTCTCTACATGCTTGTAAAGGAACCCATCACTGTGCGCCCCAACCTGAAATGGAAAATCCTCAGTCAGGGATCAGGAATGTTCTTTGCATCTTAGCCATCCTTGAGAAATAAACTACGTCCCCCACCCCTCCCCGCAGTGCTGAAGAGGGAACCCAGGTGAACGCTAGGCAAGCTCTCTACTCCTGAATGAGTCAGCCCAGGCCCAGAGCTACTTGAAGAGGATGGACACTAATTGATTTGCTTCAAGCTCACTACTGTATCTAGTATTTCAGGATGTAGACAGAGATTGGGGTTATAGTGCCTTAAAATATTTACAATTTTTTCAGTCACTTATCAATAAAACCAGATAAATAATTTTTAAAATTTTGTGTGCAAAAAATAAAAATTCAATTTGTTAAAACTGTAAGAAAAAGGGGGGAGTGGGGAGAGAGCTCAGCAGTTGAAGTGCCTGCTTGGCAAGTGCAAGGACCTGAGTTTGATCCTTGGTACCACATGCCACGCCGGCCCTGCTCTGAGTTGGCCACCAAAACCAGGTGTTGTGGCACATGCCTGGAATCCCAGTGCTAGGGAGGCTGAGACAGGAGGGTCGCTATGAGTCTGAGCTATGTAGCGAGACCCTGTACCTTCAAGTACATAAATGAGTAAGTAAATAAATTTTAAAAATTAAAACTTAAAAAAATTGTAAAAGAGGAAGAATGTTCTGGTCTCTGGAGCCCTTTACAAGTATGACCATCTTCAATACCCTCCTCAGCCCTTCTCCTTCTGATAACTGTCCAAGCTTCTATTCCACTTATATAAATGATTTGGGAAGTGTAATACCATAATTTGCTTTCCAATTGTGCTCTTGTGATTTTAATTCTCTTTCTCCAAGATGTGATCCTCAGATATGAGATCTGCATGCTGCAACTTTTCTCTGTCTGGAGCCAAGGAATACAATTCCCAAGTGCTAAGCATTCAAGAGTCCGGGATTTGTAATTCATAATCACGAGAGTCCGAGGCTGCTACCGCTACCCATCGCCCAGCCAACACTTCCCTTTGAGGTGGAAGGTGGAGAGGAAGAGGGGATTCGGAGGCTACAGGCCCCCACATACGATGCACACTTATGAATATCCCCTGTATGAATGTACAATTCCTGATCCTTCCTACAAAAAATATTCTTTTCAATACTTCGCAAAATCTCCCTTTCAATATAGCACCTTACCTAAATCATTAAAAATACCATCTTAATAGACTTTCATAATCTGAAGATGGAAAAATTCATTTTAGGAACCATATCCAAAGGCAGACATGCAATGATCATTTTGATCAACTGAGGAAATCATTTTCTTTAAGGGTTTCATTGTCACCTCCATTAGGACACCCTCATAAGACTATTGCTAACTAACCTTACTACTGAATAACAACCAGTTTCATCTCTGACTCACAGGGGAGAGACCATCATTAACTGAGTTCCCACCCGTAAGTGTGGTGGATCTCTTATATATACAACCATCCCCAATCCTGGAATTATTCAATGACATATGTCTAGCAACATACCCATTTTACAGATAGAAAATGGGAAATAAGCTTCTCAAAGTGAATAACATATAAGGCCATAGTTAATAAATGGCAAGGCCAGAACACAAAACAGTCTGCCAAATAAATCCTGATACCATGAAGGCAGTATTATGTCACTATTAGCAGTAGTAGAAATTAAGTCATTTCTAGTTATGCTTAACTCCAGCCATAAATGTCTTGATTCTGCCATGGCCCACGTTCAATATGCTCTTATCTCTTTTTATTACCAAAGTGTCTATGTCTTCGCAATCAATAAGCTAAGTTAAAATCAATTCCATTTCTTTTTATGCAGTTAGTACAGGGGATACAAGGTCTACAGGGTCTCACTATGTAGATCGGACTCATAGTGATCCTCCTGTTTTCAGCCTCCCAAGTGCTGGGATTACAGGTATGCACCACCACGCCCAGTCTCAATCACCCTGGG